GGCCGCAGGACAGAGAGACAGAGTCACCGAGGCTGTAATTACCAAAAGGAGTTTTATTGTGTAGCTCCAGCTAGGGTCCAAGTCCCCAGAGTGCCAACGCAGTGACCTCTTCTCCGGGCAGGGACCCTCCTTTGTGTGTTAGTCCCCTTTTATAACTTAGTTGTTACACACTGGTCATGCATCTGCCCCCACAGTGATTTTTACTTCATCCTGCCCCTGATAGGCCCTAACCTGTTCGGGTCCTCGCTGAGAGACTCAGGTTTCTGCTCTTTTTCCTCTGCATCCCATAATATGCTCATAATGCCTTGCGGTCAGCAAACAAGCAGTAAACAGAAGCTGGAAGGTGTCCATTGTCCTTATAGCCCAGTATCTTACAAAAAGATACTCCCCTACGTCTCCAATTACTATCTCTGGGGAGGGATGCAGGTTTTAATTCCCAAAAAAGTGGGGATAGTGTTAAAGAGACAACTTGAACGACTCTTTACAGGCCGGTCCTCTGTCACGTAACAGTGCTATGTTAAAGCTTTGTGGGAACATTTTGACCTAACCCACTCATTCGAAGTTAACTGACCAAGAGCAAAGAAGTTTTACAACCTCTCAGACCTTCACTGATGCCCAGCTGTTAGCAGTCCCTGGTTATCTCTTGCAACCTCCTTCCCCTTAACATAAAAAGAGGCCAGAGATGGTTCTTTAGGACATTAGTCTGTCATCTTTTAGGTTTGCTGGCTCTCTGAATAAAAATTGCTTTCGTTGCCCCCACACCTTGTCTCTTGACTTATTGGCTGTCCTGGGGCAAGTGGTATGGGCTTGGAATTGGTTGCACTTATACCTATGTATTCTCAAATTTCAGGGCAATTATAAAGTAAAATAAAATAAAATAAATGTTTTTTGATATTTATATTGTCCCTATATAGTTAACATTCTTTTTCTTTTACTATAGGAATTTTTCAACCTATACTCTTTTTCAATTCTAGGTTTATAAATGTTATTATTAAATATCTACTTCTCATATTTTTATCTTTGCAGATGAATCATTCCCAAGTTCTTACAATGCAGATCATATAAAAGGCAGATTAGTCAATGTGGTGCAGGGATAATGTGATAATTTATAAGAAAAGAAAAATTTAGAACCTTAACTCATATAATAACAATGATCCAAATTAAAATTGGGCCAGGTGAAGGGGCTGATTCCTGTAATGTGAACTCCCAGAACTCTGGGAGGCTGAGGCAGGAGGATCCCTTGAGCCCAGGATTTCGAAGTTACAATAAGTTATGATCATGCCACTGCACTCCAGCCTGGGCAACAGTGTGAGATTGTCTATAAAATTTTAAAAAAATGCATTTAATTACATAATTATGAACAAAGTCAGAAAACTAGTAAAATATAGATAATAGTTCATATAATCCTTTGTAGAGATAGAACTATATTAGCATAAATTCAAACACAGAAACCATAATAAAGACATAAGAGACAGAATTGCTAACAGAAAAAAACAATCTGTACAATAATTTTGTCACAGTAAGTGTCACAGCGGGTGGTCCCGAGGACAAACCAAGCGGCACATGGAGAGTCGGAGAATCACAGTTTATTTCACCTGTGCGCTCAGAGGGGCCTCACCACCAAATTCTGAGCACTGTGTACCCGATTTTTCCCACTTTTATTAAGTTGGGGTGGTCCGAGGGGTGGGGTACCAGGTGTAGGTTAGCTGATGTGTCAGGCAATAGGTTAATATCATGTTGATGCGCCAGGCAGTAGATTCAGTGTTGTGCTGATGCCAGGCAATAGACTAGTCGATGGCCAGGTAACAGGTTAGCACTATGCTGATGTGGGTCTTCCGTGAGTGGTGGGGTCTCCGTGCCTGATGCTCTAAGTAATAGATGAGGGTTTCCCTTATCAATTTAAGAGGTTTTTTTTCTGAGCCAATAGGAATGATCATTGCTTGGGGATCCACAGATCCAAGAAGCCTTCAGTAAGTGGTCCCAAGGCAGTTGGGTTACAGTTTGGTTCTATACATTTTAGGGAGAAAATAACTCCAGGTAAGATCATACATCAATACATAGAAGGTATATATTGGTTTGTCCAGAAAGGGTGGGACATTTTGAAGGGAAGGGGATTGTTTGCAAGTCATAGGCGGGTTCAGAGATTTTTCTGATTTGTAATTGATTAAAGGAACAAAGCTTTTTCTGAAGACTTGAAGTCAGGAATGCTTGAGTTAAGATAAGGGGGTTTGCTAGCACATGGCTTGCTACACCTGAGTCAGGTTAGAAAGTGTGACTAGATTGAAAAAAAAAAAAAAAACTAAAATAATTTAACAAGGTTTATTCTGAGCCAAATATGTGTAACTGCTCCAGAGAATACGGCCTAAAAACGTCCTGAGAAAATGTGCTGAGGCTGCCGGGTCACAGGGTCACGGTTTGGTTTTATACATTCATGGAGGCAAGAACGACACACAAAATCCTGTTAGCACTAGAAGGAGTGTGTTGGTTTGGCTGACACGCAGGACATCTGTAACTGGGGGCTTATAGGTTTCAGGTGGCTTCAAAGATTCCTTGATTTATAATTGGTTAAAGAAATGAAGCTTTGTTTAAAGGTTTAGAATGTTTTAAGTTAAGGAAGTTAATCAGAGACAAGCCACAATATAAAGATTCAAGTAATTTGTGAAGCAAATTAATGGCCTGCAGGTGATTTAACCTTTGCCCTGCATGGCATTACAGCCTGTTAATAATTTGGGTTCCTATCATCTAAGGTGTGTCCAACCTCGCTTCCCTTCATGGCCAGGAGCTCAGTTTTAAGTTTTCTCTGGAGTCCTCTTTGACCAAGAGGGGATCCATTCAGTTAGTGGGCAGCTTAGGGTTTTATTTTAGTTCACAAAAGTAAGCCACACTATACTGAGTTGATTTTTTAAAAAGTTGTTTAATGAGATTTTAGGGTTTGTAAGGCATGACTTAACTTCAGCCTGCATGGCCTTAAGTCCTGTTTGCTATAACTCTAAATGCCGAAAGGGAGGCGCATAAGGAGGTGTGTCCTACCTCCTTTCCCTTCATGTCTGAGAACTCAGTTTATATGTCTTACTGGGGTTTCATTGGCCAAGAGATCTGTTCACTTGGCAGGGCAACTTAGGGTTTTATTTTTAGTTTACATAACTAAAGTTTAAAATATATGCATTGGAGTGGCATAATTAAACTAACTAAAATATAATAGTTATATAAAATATATGAAAAATATATATTTTACAATATTAACAGTTAATGTGCTTATTTTAGTAATCATTAAATGAGAACACCAGGTCTTAAGTAGGTAAAGAATGGTTACAGCAAGATCACACACATGTGCACACACACATACAATATGGCCAAATACACATGTGAAGATGTTCAACTACACTAGAAATCACACCCATGTTTTTTCTATAAAAGAGTAAGGATTAAGAGTCAGAATAGCCATTTATTGTTGGCATGAAGATAAAAGAAACCAAAATATTTCACCCCAAAGTATATTTTTTTGACATATTTCAAGATGGCTATCCAGAGAACTGGCAACACAAGAATAGCCAAAAAGCTGTCTTTTGTAGGACAGATTTGCATTTGTGAGAAATTCTACATTGACACAGCCAGGCTTTCTCTGAGTCACTTTCTTGTCTTGAGATAGGAGAGACTGATTGAGAGTCTGCCACCTTTATAGGTCTGAAAGAAACATTCCCCATCTTTCCTCTGAGGGCTCCTGCCTAGGAGGCTTCATCTACACATGAAGACCGGCCACCTTTGCCAGCCAGGCCTCTTCTCAAATGTATAGACATGCAATGATATTCCTAAGCCTTCTCTTCCCATTCATCTCTGTGTTATCAGTTTGTTTTATAAACTACAATTATCAAAACTTCAGGAGAAAAATTTAAACTTCCCTACAGAGAAAAGACCAAGATATATATGACAAATAATATTGTTTAGAATGTAAACTGCTAAAAGAAAGCTTTATAAAGGTATATTTGCAATTTGTATCAAACAATTTAAATGTACATTTACTTTATGAAATTTCAAATAATTTAAGCTAAATACACATTATATATGAAACCTTTAGCAATACTTTCATGGAGCACCTTACTGTGCATTACTATAAACAACTGTCAAATATAGGAAATAATTAAGGTAGCGCCTAATTTTTAAAATATCTAATTTTTTCACAGATCTATTAAATAAGGCAAATTACGTTTTAACTTTATTTTTAAATTTGCAGAATAGTATTTTTCAGCAGATGGTTTATTCCAGCAAATTCCACGTTCACATTGTGCTATGGTTTTATGAGTTCCAGCTGTTAACTGATAATATTTTACTGCTGAATCTATCATGTGTGATATAATTGCTCATTATGTGTCTTAAAACACCAGCAATATAGTTATTTCCAACTTGGAGCAAATTAAAATCTTATCAGCATTTAAAAAATCTATAGTTGTCTTCTAATTATTTTAAACTTGCATTTTTCTCTGTATCTTTTTTTAGTGAATTGTCTTGTCTAGAGGAAGACCTCAAGTTGAGTATTCTTTTTCTCTCCATATACCTTGCACATGTGTTATTAATTTCACTTCTGAGGAAATGTTTTGCATACCCATCTTGATAAGGGAAACCCCCATCTGTTACTTGGCGCATCAGACATGGAGACCCCACCACTCACGGAGACCCACCTCAGCATAGTGCTAGCCTGTTTCCTGGCCCATCGACTAGTCTATTGGCTGGCCTCAGCACGGCACTAAATCTAGTGCCTGGCGCATCAACATAATAATCTATTACCTGACACATCAACTAACCTACACCTGGTACCCCACCCCTCGGACCACCTCAACTTAATAAAAGTGGGAAAATAGGGTAGATGGTACTTAGAACTTGGTGGGGAGGCCCCTCTGAGCCCACAGGTGAAATAAACTTTGATTCTCCAACTCTGTGTGCAGCTTGGCTTGTCCTCAGAACCACCCGCTGTAACACTTGCTGTCAGAATCTTACAAGATGAGAAGCCTTGTGAATTCTTTTATTCAGTGTGATAGCAGCAGTAGGAAATATTTCAGCTTCATGAGCATGGGTATGGCAATGGTCGTCTTTCCAACCCCGTGTTAGTGCTGAACATTCGGCGTTCTCAGTGAATTACTAAGTCGACTAGTGCTTTCTTCACAAATTACAAATGAGAAAACAGGAGTTTGTCCATTGTGTGTATCTGATATGTCTCCTAGGATGGATGGTTGTTTCTACAGGGCACAACTGACGGGACTGACTTCAGGTCGAGACTAGTTTCCTCCGGGTTTCGCATCTGTCTTTGGAGATCTCAGAGAATCGGAATCGCTTTTGCTTCTTTCTTAAGAAACATTCAACAAGTCTCCAACCTGGATAGAATATAAAATATAATGAGTTAGTTGAAGCAATCCACGACGGACTTACAATGTTTAGTCTCTAAGATACAGTGAGTCTCCACCACTCAATGCTTCTATCCCTTCTTCCTCTTTGTTTTGACTATAATGAGATCCCCCGGAACCAAATCTGCATCCCAGAGGCAAAACGCCCTGTGGTTGAGCTATGAGCATGTTTAGTAAAGGTAGGCTAAATACGAGGTTTTGTCTATGGGGAGACAACCATTTTAGTGACATTTTTATTGGAAACTTAACTGCTATGGTTTGGGCATTTGTCCTCTCCAAACCTCATGTTGAAATTGATCCCCAATGTTGGCGTTAGGGCCTGACGAGAGGTGCCTGCGTCATGAGGGCCAATCCCTCACGAATAGATTAACGTCCTCCCTCACGGGGGAGCCAATTCCCACTCTACGAGTTCCGCCTTCCCGTCCCGCTTCCTCTCGCGAGAGACCTCTGCGGCCCCGCGCCCTCCCCTTCCGGCCACGCCGAGTGCCGGGCAGGCTCCTCTGAGCCCCTTTCCCTGGGCCTTTCCCCACCGTGGGCACTCGCTCCTTCATAGCAACGCAACAGACATGACAGCTGCTGTTCTCCATGGCCTCAGATGGATTTCATTAGGAAGTTGTATGGTATGGTACGGCCCCGAGGCGGGTCAGTTCTCTGTAGTTAAGAGTGTGGGCTGTTTGGACAATATATAACTTTTTTACAGATTTCATTGTATCTGAAATTTCTTTATTTACTAATTTCTTATGTTCTTTGTCTCCTTACTAAAATATAAACTGCTTGCGGGCAGGGATATTGTGTCTTATTTTCCGTTATTCCCAGCACCTAGAACAGAAATTATGTATAGTCTGTGCACATATGTGGTTGCTTACTAAAATATCACATGCTCAATAACTATAAGTTAAGCTATATTCACATTCTAAAAGTCCCAGCCTAACTTCCCCTCAGTGGAACTTTCTTTGTTTATTCTTTAACTTGATCACCATGTGTTATTCCATGTGTTAATTCTGTTTTCTTTCTCTCATTGTACTTCAGGTCTTTTCTGAATATTTTTCCATATGTTATTATATAAATATTTATGCCTATTCATTGGTTTTCTGACTGTTTTTCTTCGTCACTACACTCTAAACTCTATGAGAGTGAGGAGTTCATTATAGTGTAACCAGTGACAAATTTATATGGAAACTCAATAAATATTTCCAATCCACAAATTAGTTTATAAACAAACAAATCCTACTTTCTTGTCTTGACAGCTGCCATGACTTGCCGGATGTTTAAAAGTATTATTTTCTACAAAGGAATGAACACAAGGAACCCACTTTTATGCTGCTTCCCCAAATTATTGCTAATCACTGTATCTATGGCAAAATATCTAACCAACAATCAGAAATCAAGGCTAGCGAAACCTACAAATTTATTATATTCAATATGCTGTGCTGAGAGTTTCTACTCTTGTAAGATGATTAACTGGACGTTTCAACATGTTTTTACTGAGTTATGCTAAGAGTGTGCTCAGCACATGTTACATGTGAAATGTTCCTAGTGAAAGACTTGAGCATCTGCTCCTCCATATCACATGAGGGGAAGAGAAAACTGACATCTGCCAACTACCTCCTGTGAGCTGCTCCCTGAAATAAGCATGCACTTCGTCCATGAATTCATATATTAACTTTCTCAGGGGGTGGTATATCTTCATCTTACAGATGGGGAAATAAAGACTCAGGAGTATTAGCAATGTTTCTAAAGTGAGCACCAGTATTAAGTGTGTTCATTTCAACACTGATTCTCTCCAGATTAAGTGATATATACTTGCACAACCGAAATTCCTCAGTACAGTAATTTCAAATAGTTACTGAAGCAAAATACTGTGTTTTTGGATACTGTAGATCATTGTTTATTAATGATCCAGATTATATTAATATTTAGCCTAAAGGCAAAAGTAAAATTAGAATCAACTTAAATGTTCTTTGCTAAACTTGTTTATATTAGAATATTGAGTTCATAGATTTACCTTTTTACTCATTTAATTTATATATGAAGTGCCAAATTTCTATGATTACACTGTCTTTGTTAATCTTGCTACTCATGCTTACACCTAGAAAAACCAGTCAGGGGTGGAGACCTGTGGTCTTGGGGCCACACGTGGCCTTTTGACTGAATCCAAATTTTGAGTCTTGGTCGTATTTTGGGGCTACAAAACTACCTGTCGTGCTAACAATATCAACTAGATTTTCTCTAGTTTCCCAGTAAGGCTCTGTGACTTCCTTTATATACCAGCTCGGGCAAGATGCAGGAAGAGAAAAGAAAAGCACTATTGGTGTAGTGCATCATCCCAGAACTGCTCAGGAGACATAACAAGGTCCACAACTAACAAATGTTGGAGAGGTACTTTCCTCTTCCCCTCTGGTTAAAAATATTTAAATAATGACAATATTACTAAGCTAAGTAGAGAGTAAATATATAGTGTATCCTGGGCCATAAAATTTGATTTTTTGGCTTAACAGGGTTGATAATGCAAAGGCAAGAAAAACAACAGAAATATTTTAAAATATTAAATAAACCAGATGGATATTTTTGAATTTTTTTCAAATTAATATCATAATAATTTTCTGATATCTTTCAAATAAGTGTATATGGATCAAGGAATTATATGGGCATTTCTTAATACGTTAGTGGACGACTAGATTTGGACTCTTGCGTTCATAAGGATAAAGCTGAAAAGTTTAAACCATCTTGTAATTCAGTTAAATGTATCCCTGGCATACTAATAAGTATATGTCTGGCCTAAGAATTAAAATAGTAAAATATTATATTTCACATATCATGCATATTACAGATACATATATAAATATATATTTTACATATCAAATTATATAAAATTAATGAATATATAAACTATATACATAAATTGATAAATGTAAAATAATAATTATACATACACACACATTTTACTGCCAAACCTCATTTTACTGCCAAACCTCATTTACTGCCAAAATCTCATTAAGGAGATTTTAATAAATGAAAGCCTCTTAAAGTAAACAAAAGAAAAATTGTACAACCAGATTGGGGAAAGGCAGTCCATTTTAAAGGTAGACCATTCCCATCTTGGTATAAGGGACTTTCTAAAATTTTGCATGACATTGCTATTTGTGGAGGATAGAGTATGGAAAAACATTATCAAAAAATCTAGAATTTATTTTAAAAGAAATTTGTGCAAGAAGTGCCTCATTTCATAGAAAAAATCTTTAGAAACAGAAGTACCGGTTTTAAAATAAATGTTAACTTATTTATTCTTTCTGAACATTAGAGAAGGAAAGATATTTATACTTATATACATATATTCTATGTGATTTCTCATACAGATCACAACTAAGTAAAATATTATCAATAGGTTATTTTAAGATAAGATATAGAATATACAAATTAAATCAAGATTCATGTCAATGAATTTAGGAGCCAGATATGTCTCTGCCCTAGTATTTTTTTGTTCTGTTTAGTCTGTCTTGTTATATTTTAAACATCTTAGATACAATATTACATTTATTTTTGCTCTTAGAATATTAAATGAATTGTTTAAACTGAAAGTTTGAAATATATTGGACATTTTTATATTGGTAGCAGAGAGTAGTGTTGACATATCTGCAACTAAGATTGTCAGTGTGTCTTTTTCCTTAAAGGTCATTTAATTTATGCTCCATCTGCACACTTAGGAAGGGTAGGTCTTCTTGAAAACTTACACTTTCACTGTGAGAACATAGACTCCTTTATCTTTCGTATTCTTGGTACTCTTAATGTATCCATGTATTATTACTTTTTTTGAATTCTACTTTTTTGATATCAATAACTCAGTCTTTCTGTATGTGTGTTAACTGCATCCATTTGTTTCCACCCTATGATGTCTAGCCTACTTGTCTTCATATTAAGTGGGGGGTTGCTAATAGCATCTAGTGCATTCTGCTCTATCCGTTTTGATAATCTGGCTTTTAGTTGGAGAGCCTGGACAATTTATACTTACTGTAATCGTTGATAAGGTCATGTTTACATCTACCATCTTGGGAGTTGTTCACTTTTTAATTGGGATCTTTGTTTTCTTACTGTTGAATTTTAAGAGTTCTTTGTTTATTTTGGATAGCAGTCCTTTATCAGATATGTGTTCACAAATATTTTCTCTCAGCCCTTGCCTTGTCTGATGATTCTCTTAATTGATTCCGTTTTTGAAGGACATTTTTACTGGATATTAAATTAATAGGATTTTACACCATACACCTTCCAAGTACTTAAAAATATCATCCCATTATCTCCTGGCTTGCATGGTTTCTGATTGAAAGCTTAGGTTATTCTCTGAATAATGTCCTTTCCCCCCTGGCTTTGTTATATTTTTCTTAGAGTTTAGCCTGCATGGTTTTTGTTGAGCTTCTTGGGTCTCTGTATTTATACTTTTTATAAAAAATTGGAATATTCTAACTATTACTTATTTGACTATATTTTTCTTCCCCTTATCCTTCTTGAGATATCAATTACACATATGTTACACTGCTTGATACTGTCAGATATTTCAAGGAGTTTCTGTTTTATTTTATTTTCCTCCTTTTCCTTCAGTTTGTATGCTTTATATTTCTGTATCTTCAAATTCCCTGATCTTTTCATAGTATATAATCCATTACTAATCCCATCTAGTGGAATTTTTGTTTCAAATATTTATTATTCATCTATACATATTACATTTTTATTTTATAATTTCTATTTCCCCATGCTTATTTTTTCATTTAAATAATTTAACACACACACACATACATGCACTTATATAGTACATTAAATACCTTGAAAATTCTTTCTTCTCTGTCATTTATGGTGACTCATTTTTATCCTGTTAATGTTGTGTCTGCTTGCTTCTTGGCATGTGAGGTTATTCTTATTGGATACTGGATATTGTGATGTTACAGTATTGACATCTGGATTTTATTGGCTACCTTTGAACAGTGTTTGTCTCTTTCTGGCAGGCAGCTTAGTGACTTGAGGATCAGGTTTTTTTCTGTTTTTTGCTGCTTTCATTTTAAGGCTTCTTTCTAAACTTTGTTAGGTTAGTCTAAGCTGTCTCTAATTCAGAGCTAGTTGAGAACTACTGCCAGGGCATGAAACTTCCATAGTCTCTACTGAATACCCTGGGTGTTCAGTGAGGACCCTACACTCTGGCTAGACATGCCTTCCTGCCATGGGGTGTCTGGGGTTGTTCATCTTCCAACACCTTGGTAGATGTTCTTCGCTGAGCTTCACATTATTTCCTCCTGTGTGCATTTGGCTCAGGACTTGGGAAAAAGATTTTGCTGGTCCTGGCTCCTTTTTCTCTTTTGCTACAAATTCTAGCTGCTTAATCTTCTTTGAATTTTGATTTCTGTTTCCTCAATGCAGTGACATTGCCCTGCTCTCTGCTATTCTCT